ATGTAAGAATGTTAACACTGTATAATCTTTTTTAGCATAATACTTGTGTGGGTAGAAGTGAATTATTTACTGCTTGCAAACCAATGATGTAAGATGATGTCATGGGGTAGGACTGGATAAGTCTGACTTCTTCCTACTCCATTCAAGCATGTACTAGGTATAAGCACATTGATACTGGATTAGCATTTGTTGGATATGTGTAAAATTATGTGTGTTGACATATCAACTGTCTTTACATGCTTGAAAGAATAAATCAAATCAAATGCTTTGGTCCTGCTGTCCTTGTCTGATGAACATCTGAGGGTCGTGTTTTTGTTACAATAAAGTGAAAATTTGTTCTTTCACAGTTTTGTTATTGCAAATTCCAAACACTAAGCACCCATAAACACACCTGCATAAAGCTTCCATTGTAGTTTTTGGTGCTTCTCTTACATGTCCCATTCAGGTCACAGTCTACTGACACTTTGGTTTCATTAGAGCTCTTTTTACGTACAACCTGTACAGGGGAAACTGAAACTACAGTTTGTATAAACTCTAGGGAAATGGTCGCCATTTAGCCGGTTTGGCACAAACCGTGGAATGTCACTGTGGCCTTGCTTCCCCTTGGGTCCCATGCAGACCTATTTTTCTGCCGCGGTGGAGGTGCCAGGGGCTGGAGGAGTCCCAGTCCTGATAGTGGATCCTCCCTGGTTGCCTGTTGTGGCACCACTGGTCCAGGCTTTCTCATTAGAGTCTGATAAGGACTGCATTGTCTCAGCCAGCTTCCTTGACTCACACTGACAAACATACAATTCTTGCATTATTTTACAATTAGGCATATTCACATTGTTTATTATACACTGCAGAAACCCCCTAGGTTAGTAATCACCATATTGCATTACATTTTCCCTGTAATATGATTAATTTATTTAGCTTTATCCTTCCCCATGGGAACTAAAATGTATTTAGACCCTCATAAAACTGGGTAGAAAGTAATAACACAGCTTTATTAGAATCTGATTATTTATTTTACTGTGGTGAACAGTAAAATTAGATCTCAACATGATATTGTAATTGTACTAACCGAGCTGGGAAATGGTGGAACAACAAATTTGAGGTCTTTCGATATGAAATCCAGACTTTGACATGTTGTAGCTGTTTCCAACACTTTAGAACTGAACACTGCCTTGCTTCTGCCAGACATGTATTTTATTAAGAAGATGCAGTGCAGAGGTTACTAAATCATTATTGTGGCAAATAAGAAATGATGTATTGTTTATTGTCTCACTGTCTTATCCAATAACTGCAGAGTTAGTCTCTCTGCTAGCCTCATGTAACTCCTAACAAGGCTACATTCACTCTTACCCTCCGTGGGTGTTGTTAAGTTTGCCTGGGTAGCCCAATATTGCTGCAGCCCATAATTCGACTTTAATTAATTCCCAGCCAGATGGAAATTCCTGTAGTTGCTAATGAAAGAAATGGTGTGTTTTTCTCAAGGTGGATTGATGTTAAAGCTAGCAGCTTTGCTACAGTGCTCAGGGTGGAGAGGAATGCTAATAATTCTAAAAGGCTTACAGTTCGCCAGCAGTAGCCATGGCAATACTTCACATACAATGGTGGCCTTTTAGAGGAGTGGAGAGAGGAGGGGGCTGCTCCCTCACTGACTCAGTTTGGTGTGATATTAGGAAAGACCTCCTTGCACTTTCCACTGTTGTTGTTATCATAAGATTAAGTGGTACCCAGAGCAGTTTGCCTGAGTTAAGTTATGGAGTATAAATGTGTTTTGGGACATCAGATTCATCTGTGTAGAACATGGTCTGGTTTTTTTTTTTATCGTAAATGTAAAATTTGTACCGCATTTGTATTGTTTTATGTGTATGACTCCAGTCTTCCTTTGCAAATTAATTATATTTAAATGATGCACACATTGACAGTGTTGCTACACATACTGTATTGTAAACTGTGAGTACACGGTCTTTCTCTTGCTGCCTGTTCCTAACATATCAGACTTTCAGAGATCATGATTTTGATTATGGTTCATCATTTTGTGTGTCATGTCATTGCAGTCAGGCAATATGAGGCAATATTGTGTAGTTTTGCCATAAATGATGTCAGGCTCATTTTGAAGACTTTTATTTATAGAAAACAGTGTGTTTCTAATTTCTCTCATGATCCACTGATTGGTATCAACATTGCAGAAGTGTACATAATCAAAATCACTTCTCCTTTTCGCAATCAGTGACTCAACTGTGGTTGACAACAGGCAAATGTCACACTAATTGCCCTTACGATAACTTTGCTTATTCATTATTTCTCTATCCACTGGGTTAGAATAAGCCAGAACCCATCTAACCACACATTGGGTAAAGGCAGTGGCGGTTTTTGGCATGGGCGAACCGGGCAGCTGCCCGGGGCAGCATTTTTTCATGACACATTGGGGGGCGGCACAAGCACTTGGAAAGAAAATAATTTGCGCCACTAAGCGGTTTTCTATTATCTATCATATGTGGCGCCCCTGCTTGATGAGAAGGTGCCATGCACAGAAGCTGTGTGAGAGGTGGAAAGGGGAGGGGAGGGGGCGCGGGCGCAGGAGGAGAGATCCCCTCTCCCAAATGGAGCAGACGAAGTGGCAGGGGATCCATTTAGTAGGCTAAACTAAACTAAGCCAGTGACACCTTGACTTTCTTCCAAATAATGCACATTTCATTCATAATATTATAAACACAGACCTATAATTTGCACGTTTAGCAGAGGGGGGTCTCTCCCAGGGAGTAAATCAATGTAGAACCGCCACTGGGTAAAGGTCAGGAAAGCCATCAATTCAAAATGGGTAAACTCTAATACAAATATTACATGTCAATCCGGTAATGTCTTTTCATTTATTGATTTTCAGTGTTTCTTGATATACCTTAATAACCACATCTGAGAGAAGCAAAAGCCTGCATTTAGTTTAAGAAATGCATAATATAGACATATTGTGCCCAGTATACTTCTCAGTTTCACTGAATTATGACTAACCTAAGCTAGTCTTAGTGTAAACCTTCACTATGTATATGTTTTACAGTAGGTCCTGTGGAGCAGCTGTTAGAACCAGATCAGCCTTTGGTTGAAGACTC